GAAAGCTCATTCTCCTTGAGTCTGCAGCTGGGGCAATCAATCGGTTGCCATGGAAACCAGGCACGAATCAGAGGCCGGGCACTCCTTGGCTAAGCCAGCGCCACCTACCCACCCACTCAGGCCTGGCTGTGAAGGTCCCTCACTTAGAACTGTTGCGGAAGGTACGGGAAGAGGAGGGGGGAGGCTCTGCTATGACTCGGAACATCAGTCTGCACCCCCAGCCTCTGAGGCCCCCAGTGACTAGGTGGGCTCTTGCGGGAACTGGCCCTCCCAAGTAGTCCCCTCTCCTCAGGCTTTTACAAGGCTCGCCCCTTACATTATGGCAGCGGTTCTCAACCTATGGGGCGTGGGGGTTGTCGAATGACCCTTTTCACGGGGGTTGCCTAAGACTATCTGCATATAATAAAAAAAAGTAGCGATAATAAATTTTATGGTCGGGAAGCGGAGGGTCACCACAACATGAGGACCTGTGTTAAGGGGTGGCAGCATTAGGAAGGCTGAGAACCACTGCATTATAGCCTTACCCCTGGTACTTAGAGCAAGACCTGAGGGGAGGGGTCATGGGCCCATTGGGCAGAAGGGAAAGCTGAGGCACAGCCTGGGAGTCCCCGGCAATGCAGGCCTAAGCCCCCTCTCCCTGAGCCCCATCTCCCAGTCTCTCCTCCCCAGCCTGAGAGATGAAGGCAGGGGAGGAAGAGTGGACAGAGGAACTCTGCCTTCCCACCAGATGAGAACTTGAACTTAGCACTTCCTGTTCCCATTCATGACAGGCCTGCCAAGGGCCATTAGCCAAGCCCGTGGGCCTGCTCCCTCCTGCCCACCCACGCAGCTGCGGGCTCTGACTCCGGCGGAGCCGCCAGAACTGGACAGAGCCCTGGCTCCACGTCAAGCCAGCCAAGCCCATCACTGGGCTCCTCGCTGGGAGAAGCCTGAGTTTCTCAGTTTGGAAAACGGGAGTGATCGTCTCTGCCTCACCGAGTAGTAATGAGAAGCCGGCCCAAGGGCAGGGAAAACTTAACACAGTACCTGCTATGTCATGTATACTCTGCGGACATGAGCCCGGTTCACCCACTCGGAACCCAAAACTGTCCCCGGGAGCTGACCCTCCCCAAGGCACCCACTTTGCTGGGAGCGGGGGTGGGGGGGTGGCAAGAGGATGAACGCTGCCAGCGTGCACGGCCAGCCAGGGACAAAGGGGGATTACAGGTGCCATGTAGAGATGCCCCAACAGGACTCCAGGCTAGCAAGGGGTCTGACACCATATCCCAGGTCTGCCTGGTTGATGCCAATGCCGAGCTGTGGCACAGGAGGGAAGCTGAGCGGGTGCCAGATGCTGAGGAAGGAAGGGAGAGGCTAGCCGGACACCTAGAGAGCTGCAGAGGTGCCCTGACACCCGGGGTGGGCGGCTGTGGCCTTCTGACCCCCAGCTGTGTCTGCTGGCACCCAGACTGTGTGGCCCCAGAGCCATCTGGCACTTGGGGCCAAGGCCTGCTCAGCAGGGTGTAGGGGCCCAGGCCCACCCTGGCTAACTCCCCCTTCCTCTCTTCCTCAGCGTGGACCTTCCACAATCCCAAACCGTCAGAGGCACGTTTGCACGTTTGCAGAGCACAGCGCAGCCTCGCGCGTGGGGTTGTCCCCTTCTTAGACGTGAGGCTGGCACAGAGACCTGTGGATGTCTCGCGGTCATGCGCCTGGTAAATACATGGCAGAGGCAGGGTCTGGACCCAGGTGTGAGAGGCGTCCAAGCCAACTCGAAGGACGATGGTGGGGTCTCCCTCGTGGGGCTTCGCTCTCCCTATTCCTCTCCATGGCTCCCATAGAGCAGGATGGAGCAACAGGACTCCGCTATCCTCTCTCCTTTCCTTCAGAAAGCAAATGGATGCACCAATTAGACTTTAGTCTTTGGGGGTGTGTGGTGTGTGTGTGTGGGGTGCTGACTGGCACTCCGGCAGGAAGCAGGTCTGTAATCAGTCAGCCTCAGGGCCAGGTGCCCTCCCCAGCCAGGGCACTTTTGCACATTCTAGAACCTCCCGTGATTAAACACTAATTGCTGCCACGCTCTCAAATTGAAGACTTTAATTTTCCCCCCGAAACGAAAAGTACATTTCAATCAGTTCCTCTCCCGAACCGTTCCTCCTCGGGAGCCAGGGTGGAACACAAGCCCCTAGGGACTAAGAAGGAAGCAGCTCACCCCGACAGACACACACACACACACACACACACACACACACACACACACACACACACACACACACACGTCATCCCCCCCCCACTCCTCCTCTCCCCCTCTCCCCTTCCTATAGCAGGATCCCGGGCACTTGGAGTGTGGGAGGGACACTGGAGAGACCTGGGAAGCCCTTTGAGGTAGCGCACACCTGTGACTCCAGCATTCGGGAGGAGGATGCAGGAAGGGTTGCCTTGAGTTCTAGACCAGCCTGGACTACAATGGCAGAATCATCACCCCTGGCCGCCGAGAGTAAAGCTGGGCAAGGGAACCAGGAGAACAGAGAGGCCTGGGCCCAGGGTCCTCATCTGTCAGAGGCCAGAGCTGGACCCTGACTCAGTGGCCAGAGGTCCTTTGGTCTACACAGTAGCAGTGTCTGGGCCTGCCGATTCCCTCAGGAGAGCAAGGGTTCTGACTCACATGGGGTGGGAGGGGGGTTCAGGAATGGGCAGGGTACTGACATGCAGCTAGGGTTTGGTTGTGAGCCTAGCCTTTAACGGCTGAGCTATCCCTCCAGCCCGCAGCTAGGGTCTGAAAACTGTTGAGGGACAGCTGTGAGTGAATGTGGGCCCAGAGAGGGTGAGTGTACATCCCAAGGTCACACAGCAAATCACAAGGTCAGTGACAAGGACTAACAACCTCTTCCTTCCTTTGGACATTTTCAGAGACGTGGGTGAGCAGAATGACCGGGCACAATGACATGTGCCCAATCCCAGCTGGTCCAGAGGATGAGGCAGGAGGATGACTGGAGCCAGGAGTTTGGGAATCCCTCTGGTTTTATATGGTGTGGGAGTCAGGAAATCGAGAGGGAGCTGGGAATTCCTAGCGGTCTCTCAGACTCCGGGGTCTCCAGCATCAACCGAAGTAGCTGCTGACTGGGCCCCTGCTAAGGCCAGGAGCCGGGCTGGAGGGCCGTAGGTCAGGGTTACTTCCTCCCAGACACTTCACCTCGGTCCTCATCGGTTCTCCTGCTCTTGCCCAGCTCACAAAGGGGGAAAACAGCCCTGTGTGGGTCCGCACCTGCAGCGACTCTGCCAGACCACACGCTGGGACCCAAGGCCCAGGGCCCACCTAGGACCCAGGGTGGGTGTACCCAGGACCCAGCACTCATAAGCTGTGGCCTCAAGCTGCAGTGAAGCCAGACCAGGGTCAGGGGGTCCTTCCCAGGGAAGGACAGAACCTTCACGGCTGGTGGGAAACCACTTTCATATCCTGACACTGCCTGCCCCTACTGTGCGCCCATTTACCGGATGGCACTTGCCAGCTCCTGTGGCCTGCAGGGGAACTTGAGCAGGGATGGGGCAGGGCGGGTGGGGGGTGTGGTCAGCCCTGCACCCTACTCCCAGAAGGAGAGATGAGAGCCCACCCTGAACCACTGCCCACCCACCCACCCACCCACCCATCTCCCCACCCTCAGCCACTCCTCTCTTTCCTTTTTCAACCCTTGCCTCTTTCTGGAAAATTATCCCGACTCTGCCAGCCCACCCCCTAGGTGTACTGTGGTGGTTGGACATCCTGCCACCAAGCTGTGTGACTCCAGACCAATGTCTTAACCTCTCTGGACTTCATTAGTGTTCTTAGTTATTAACTAGATGCTGGTGGGAAACCGCTACGGAAGCCCCCAGTGATAGAAGGCTGCTGTCTGAGTTAGGGGGGGAACAGAAGGTCCTGTTTGCTTTTCTGTGCCTGTGTTTGTTCCTTTATGCAGACACCTTGGAGGGGAAGTCGCTGGCAAAGCAGGCTGCCTCCCGGGAGGGAGTCTGGTCCCTGGGGGAGGGGAGGGGAGGCTTCCGTATGTCACACACTTACCTTTTAAATATTGAAGGCGTAAATGCACCGGTAATTCCAGCGAATAAACAAATAAAGCACACACGTTTACAAAACGAAACTTTAAAAATAACACCAGCGACAGGAGGGTGTGAGGACGAAGCCAGGGAAAGGCGCCCTGTGAAAGAGACGCCAGAGACAGGGGTGCGGCCCTCACCACGCCGTCTCCTGCTCCCTGTGCCCCCACCCCCACAGGGGGTGCCGGGGGTGCAGCCCCTACCACTTCCTGGAGGATGGCAGAATCCATCACAGAGGGCCTTAGTCCCGCCACCGGCCCCAGGACTTGAGAGGGGATTCCCAGCCCAGCTTCAGGGGTCTGCAGGTACAGCCCCCAGAGGACCTGGGGACCCCAGCAGGCCTCTGGTGTACACACAGTATGTCCCAACATCACTGGAACGATCAAGGGACTCTCGAACACTCACCGGCTGCTCCCTCCTGCTCAGGGGTCTCAGTGGCTCCTCCCTCCAGCTCTCCCTTCTTAAGCTTGTCTGGAATTACCCTCAGAACCCAGTGCCCGCCACCAGCCTGAGAGTGGCAGGCGGGCCAGGCAACCCCCAGCCTTAAGCATCTCCCAGGGCTCTGGATAGGGAGTTCCAAGGTGGGCCTGGGGCACTCAGGGACCCCAGAAAGCCTGCCCGACTGCTAGAGCTAACTGGAACCCCAGCACCTCCAGCCCTCCGTCCAGGCCCTGTCTGTGATGATGATTGTGAGTGGCCTGTTACAAGTTCTCCAGTGCTCATAGGCCTGGCCTTTTAGTCCCAGGGACCATTCCTCTCAGGCTGGAGAGATGGCTAACAGTTAAGAGTGAACACTGCTCTCCTAGAGGGCCCGAGTTCGATTCCCAGCACCCACGCCCGGGGGCTCACACTCACCTGTAACTCCAGCTCCAGGAGAGAGAAGACAACACTTCTAACCTCCACAGATGACCCCACTCACACATACACACACATAAAATATTTTTTTTTAAAATCTCTCTCAAAGTCTTAAGTTTCAAGTCACAGCTTAGGTTGACACTCAGGCCTATTGGCCCTGGTGGGCATCCTTGCACTGTGCACAATTCTGTCTACAAGATTCGGTGCCCACAACAGCTCTTAGAACGGGCTGGGCCCGATGCTTTCTCTGCCTCCCTGGCTTGGAAGGTTCTTGAAGGTCCAGCCTGCTCTCCTCTCCCAGCTGGGGCTGAGTGCCAAGCCTTTGGAAGAGGCTATGCAGTCTGCAACCCCAGTTCAAGGCCCAGTTGGGACCTAAGGGCCAGAGAGATCCATGAAAAGTGAACAGTCAAACCTCAGGCTGAAGAGGGCCTTGCAGAGGCCAGACCACACTCTGACACTCGGAGCAGTGGACAGCATCCAGCAGAGAACGCCAGCCCTCGGGCTGTCCCCGACAGGACTGGTCTGCCCAGCAGCTGAAGATGCCTGGGCCCGGGAAACGGTTTCTTCCGGCTCCATGTCAATGGTTTCCTGTGGGGTTGGCGCGATGGGCAAGCAGGAGGCCCTGGAATGGGCTCTTGAGGGAAGCTGGGAATCTCCCATGGGTTTGCCCCAGATGAAGCTTGGCCCAGGATTACTGCGGCCGCTCCCTCCAATTGTGCCGTGAGGTTCCATGGTCTTAGACTGCAGTGATGCCACCTGTTCCTTCCCAGGACCTCGGCTCACAACTCTCCCGTGTTGTCAGGTCCCTCAGCTTTTTCCGGTGGTCTCCGTTTCCTAGGACGACCCCAAATGCTGCTCCTGTGGAGAAGGGTCTTCCTGAAGCACGGCGTGGTGGCACTGTCCGACCACACCTCTTGTCTGCGGCTTCCTAAGACAAGGCTCACTTGAGGGCCCTCTGCAAGTGGTGACCTGTCCTTCGGAGAGCCCTGCGTGTGGCTGGCGCACTCAGCCTGCCACTCTGCACACTGGTCTGTGTGGCATCCCAGAAAGAGCAGCTGGGGGAGCTGGCCTGCCTTGCGGCTTGGCAAACCTGTCCGGCACTGTTCCTGGGTACAGCTACCCTTGGCCTTCAGTCAGTCCTCACTGAAGGGACAGATCTGCAGAGGTGTCACTCTGGCAGGACCTGCTTGTGAGTGGACAGACAGACAGACAGACAGACAGACACACACACACACACACATACACACACACACACACACACTCCTGTGTCCAGGGAAGAAACCCTTCCCCTCCTTCCCTGGTCAGAGGCCTGACTTGTTAGATCTCTCAGCTCACACTGCTGGCACAATGAACGCTCTGTCTTGTCCTGAATGATCCCAACCCCCTACACACACACACACACACACACACACACACACACACACACACACACGCACGCGCACGCACACGCACGCTTGCACTCCTACATGCACACAGACACAGACACACATGCACAAACCATGCACACACACTCTGAGCCTCAGAGGCCCAGACATGGGAGTGGGGGTGGGGGGTGTCAGGCAGTGGAGGTCACCTGGAGGCCAGGGCCATATCAGACTCTTTTGTGCCTGAGGTGTCCCCTCGGGCCATGTTGCTGACTACCAGCCTGTCCCCTCCCTTAACCACACAGCCCAGGAGAAATGATGTCAGCACAGCCTGGGGCAACCCGCAGGGCCTGATCTCAGGGTCGGCCTCAGGGAAAGAGACACTGGGACCAGCAAAGAGGCAAGGCCATCCTCGTACCTGTCATACTCCACCTGGGGAGGAGGGCTGAGCAACTCCTCCAGAATCTAGTCAGCCCCGGGCTCAGAGCACGCCTCTCCTCACGGTTCGTCTCTTTTCTCAGCAAGATGCGGCATGGCCGGCACACACGGGAGCAGAAGGAAAGGTACGGGAGAGACATGCAGCTTGAGCACCAGAGCCTCTCTGTGCCTCGGTTTACCTATCTGTTAAAAGAGGTCATCGGAACATTCACTGAAGGACAGAGTCTGTGATTCTACTTTTGGGGGTCGGGTTGCTGGAGAGGAGTGTTGTTTTGGGGGAGTACAGGGCTTGGCTGGTAGTCAAGGAGGTCTCCAGGAACATGGCAGATGGCTGCCCAATACAGTGAATGCGTGCCATGCTGCTGGAAAAAGCTCAAGGGGGCACTTTTATGATCTCTCTCTTACACACACACACACACACACACACACACACACACACACACACACACAC